CTGATTTCCAATAGAAATTCATGGACTTGTAATGGATGGTCTGTTACATGCATTAATTTGGGGCTGGATGAAATAAGGTTTGATTGTAAGCCATCACATCTGTAACTGCCAGCAGAAGACAAAAAGACGTACTAACAGGCTGGTCACCAAAACAGACTCAATTAACTTACAGACACGTTTGTCAACAGAGCTGTATTTCGTATTATCTGTAGAAATACAAGTACACCGTGGTGCCACAAATTAAAAAAAGCAGTACTATAGATCCCAAGTTTAGCTCAGCTGGGACAAAAGGCTGGCCCTTACTATTTTCTTTACTAGCAAACCATTACATGATGATTTTTTTCTCAGTAGAGACATACAGGGTGACAGAACACTTTGGAAAGCTTTTCTAACAGGCAGCGGACTGCCTGCATACAAAGGCTGCTCCATCGCCTTAGCACCCGTCGCTTTCCCGTGCTGTTAGCACTACATCCATTGCCAAACTGCACCGTGCCACACCTCCCTGCTTACTGAAGGATGCCATGTATTCTGTACCACGGAGGAGAACCTCGTGCAAACCCACGCTAGCCACAGCTCACCCCTGGAGGCAAGCTCTAATTCAGCAGATGTTGCACTCTCGGCATTAAAGGTTCCCTAGCTTCTAAACTTCTGGCGACACAATGGAGAGAAACACCCGTGTGCTGAGCAGGAGGGCAGCCGGCCCACGCCTCAGCCACTGAAGGTCCCCGTGTGGCGCTAGAACAGCTGTACAAGAAGTATCTCTACGCATCTGCTCCAACAACGCCAACAGGTAACGGTACCCGTTATCGATACTGATGTCAATTCACTTGCGCTCCACATAAAAAGGGAAAGTTTAGACACCCAGCTGAACAAGCATGCGCAGCGGTCATTCCCAGAGGAGTGACTTTTCTTCTCTGGGAAGCGAGCCATACGTACCAGGAGGAGCAGTCCTGTGCTTTCACTGACACGCGGGAGCAATGGCAGTATAACCCGATCATCCTGATGTGGATTTCAGTTCCCCGACCCATTTGGCAGGGGGTTGAACGAAAGCTTTCAGGCTGGGACCGAGACTCGAACCGTAACCGTAGCCCAGCTACAGGCCTGAGCGCCCATCGCTCGTTTGAGACCCACCTCCAGCGGAGCAGC